TGTGGTGGCAGCATTTGGGGTAGAGGCAGCATGCAGCCCCCTGGCTGCCCCTAGGCACAGAAGCCAGAGTGGGGCCATGCCGCTGCTTGTGGGAGGTGTGTAGAGCGGCCCCCGACCCTGCTCTCTGGCTGGAGCACTGGAACGGGGCAAGCCTCAGACCCCGCTCCCCAACAGGAGCTCAAGGGCGGGCCAGATCCAGCCTGTGGACCATAGTTTGCCCATCCCTGGTCTAGTCAGTAAAACAGACTTCCACTCATCAGTCACAGACTCCAGAGCACAAGAACTGTGCCCCATATGATCAAAGTACCGTAGCTACTCCATAAGCTCAATAACTACCACTGAAGTACATATAAAGTAAATTAAAAGCTTCTGACTTACCTGACAGGATAGCTGCTTACAGAGTTGTGTGTGTAACTAACCAAGATACTGTGCTGGGCTGGGTCTGTGCGTGGGGCACATCCACAGACAGCCCCTAAAGGGTGTGGCTTCTCAGGGGCAGGGAAGGGGAAGGAGGACTTTGATTGAGGAAGTAACCTGAGTGACAGGTCAGGTAAAGGGGTGGTTCCTGCCTGTGTAAAGTGAAATGAAAGTGTTTTTTGGAGTCAGCAGCACCAGCAGCAGTTGGAGAACTGCCTATCTGCACCCTCTTCCAGTAATAAATACATGCTGTGCCGTTACTGAGCTCCTGCCTCTGTCATCATCATTCCATGAACTCTGCCTGCTTATGCTCACCCACCAAAAAAGAGACTGAGGTCACACAACACATTTCAACTATTTATAATCAGTAATACCTGGAGCATATTAAGGAAACAAAAGTGTTACTTAGAGGGACAAGACAGAAGCCAATAAAATTTTAAATACAGAACTCTTCCCAAAATGACATATCTACCTTACCTTTAAAAGTTACGTGGAGGCTGGAAAAAATGGCCCTTCAAAATGTGGGCTGAACTAGTGTGGACAGAATGTACCTTTGTTAAAATGCTTATAAATTCTATATATTATGTATAAAGACTACATTAAAATAATATTCAGATTTTAAGGTCAAGCACTCAAAACTTAGAAAGTGTCAGAATTAAGGTTGCCTGTACATATGATCTCACACTATTTCTCCCTCCTCCCTCCAATCCAGCCTCATTCAGTGCACAGGATGGTTGCTGCTCACTGAGCAGCTATTCAATATTTTATTTTACCCTCATTATTCAAGGTGTGACCCTATGCCTCACTTACTGCACGCTATTCAAACCTTGCATTGAATTCAGAATTACTGATTTCCTCCAGTAATCATATCTGACTGCTTAACTGTTAAATTAATTTATCTTCACAACATCCCTGTATAAAGTAGTTTGTTATCCCCATTTTACAGCTGAGGAAATGAGGCTCAGATATTTATGTCTAAAGAGTACGCTAATTTTGAGTGCCCCATTTGAAAAATCTAGGATCCAATTTTTCAGAGAATTAGCATTTTATATATTCACAGCTGAGCTCTGATTGACATCTATTGTGTTTGTGAGGCCAGGATCTTGCAGAAAATAGCTTCATTATCAGCAATTTAAATTTTCTGAATACCATCCATACTGAGTACTGAATAAGACAGTTGGGGGCGGGGGGGAGGAGTTGTGATAATGTAGTTAAAGACTGTATCATAATTAGGCTTGTAGGGATTACGTTTTTATGGGTAAGTGTCAATAAATGTCAATTTCACTGTACCACCATAAATTGACAAAAAATATTTCCATCAATAAAAACTGAAATTTGCAGATAGGCAAAGTTCTGTTCATTCCCTCTGAAGGATCTGGCATTGGCCACTGTCAGAAGACAGGACACTGGGCTGGATGGATGATTGGACTGACCCAGTATGGTTGTTCTTATGTTCCTAAGAAAAGTATTGCTTTAGAACTTTAGAGTTTGATTTAAGGATATTCACTTTGTATTTTTTGACATGTGATGTTCACAATTTCTGTTTTAATGGTTATAAATCTCAACATCTACTGTCACCAAATAATTGTCTGGCCCCCCCACCCCCAGCGTCCTACAGCTGTGAAAATTTAAATCAGTAAAATTGAAAAAAATACTCAAAAACAGATTACAGTAAGGTTTAAAAAATAAAAATTGATTTCTGCCAAACCTAATCATAATACAGATGCACAAAGGAACCAATTTAAGGTTGCACAGACAACCCTAATTCTGGCATTTCCTGATATCTGAGTGCTTAACTTTGCAGCCTAAAAATTCTTTCAATGTGAATATACAGACAGACGTGTGTGTGTGTGTGTATGTATATATATATATATATATATATATATATATATATACACACATACATACATACATACATACATACACACACACACACACATATATATACATACACACATACACACACAAGGGCTGTCAAGCAATTAAAAAAAATTGCAGTTTTAATCACACTGTTGAACAAGATTGGAATACCATTTAAATATTTTTGGGGTTTTCTATATTTTCAAATAGAGAGTCAGGGCTGGGGGCTCTGGGAAGCTGTGGGCTGGGGCAACGGCAGCCCTGGGAGAGCAGGTGGCATGTCAGTCTACTATGGCTCCCTCTGCAGTCTGTGAGCTCTGGGCTGAGGAGTGCAGGGAAGGGGCTAAGCAGGCCCCATTCCCAGCTCAGCCAGGGATTGGCTGAAATGAGCACACTTGAGCCACCTGCACCAGCCACAGCCACCCCAACTCCGCTCCCTGCAGGTGTCCCACACACAGGAGACCCAGACCCTGCCCAGAGGTGGCTTCATTGCCCATAGAACCCTTCCCCCCTCCCTGACATGCTTCATTTGTCATGAAAGAAGCCCTGTCACAAGTTATGCACTTGCTGGGTGACTGTAGAGTGGCAGCTGCTGGCTGGGTAGCACCCAGCTGTGAGGGCAGCGCTGCCACCAGCAGCAGCACAGATGCAAGAGTGGCATGTTATGGTATTGCCACCCTTACTTCTGCACTGCTGCCTTCAGAGCTGAGTGGCAGCTGCTCATCAGGAGCCCAGAGGTACTGCAGCTATAAACCACCAAGCCTAGAGGTGCTGGGACTCAGCCCTGGCAAGCCCCAGAGCAAATTAAGCATTGCCCCACCCCCTGCCCTGTCCCTGTCCATACTTTGCTACAGAAGCCTTCAATGCAGACACAGACACATGGGTCCTATGGGCACTGAGACTCCCCATGATCATAGCAGCCTGGGTGGTGGCCCACATTGCCCACCCCAGTTGTCTAGACACTTTACGTAGGGCAGAGAACCAATCAGGAGCCACGAGCCTGCTGTCTGTCAAACCCTTGAGGCTGAACTTCTTATGGCCTGTTTCCACAGCCAGTCATGGGAAGTGGAGTGCAAGCTGGTTACTGCTGTTGCTGTTTGGCAGCCTGGGGATTAATACAACAATCAAAAGGTAGGTAAGGAATTGTATGAACAGAGATTTTCAGATGCTCCAAGCTTGGTCAAATTTGGGTAGATTTTCACAGGGACACCAGGACAACTTCTCTACCCTTAGCCAAATTTCAAAGTCCTTGATCCAAAACACAGAGGTACTAGAGCTTTCTCAATGAAAGAGTTGTTTTGCTCATGTAATGAAGTTTTTACAACAAATTTCCTCCTAACCTTGTTCTGAAAAAATGGTTGAATAATTTTTGCTGAAATTAAAATATATATTTAATTTAGCCTAAGGCAGACACCCAGGATGGAAGATTTCTGCCTAAATGGTTGAAGTCCAGAAAAGTTATAAGCAACTGACAACCAGATAGTGGAAAGTGTAGGACAACCCTCAGTAGAGTCACTCACTGCCTGGGCCACCTATAATATATGTTCGGGAGGTCAGGTAGTCATTTTTAAATGTCTCAGATTATTTAATACAAAGTTATGTCCTGTCAGTGTCTACACTGAACCATTTTCCTCTAAAACTTCCCAGCATTGATTCTACTGATGTTAGCAACCATGAAAACTGTAGTGTCGAGAAGGAGTTGGCAGCCTTCTGTTTTTTTTAAGCCACCTGGTCATCTGCTCAGAGCAAATCTAGATGACATGGTGGTAAAGACACCAGTGGCCAATCTACACTACCATTGTTGTTACCAGAAGCAGGAAAATACCCCATTGTTGCAATAGTGGGAAATTTTAAGGACAACATCTTGTTGCTAACTTGTGTTGTTGTAGCCATTTTGGTCTCAGGATATTAAACAGACAAGGTGGGTGAGGTAATTTCTTTTATTGGACCAACTTCGGTTGGTGAGAGAGAAGCTTTCAAGCTTACACAGAGCTCTTTTCCAAGTCACCTGCCTAATCTTGAAAGCTTGTCTCACCCACAGAAGTTGTAAACTAGGTGACTGGTGGCATAACTACATTGATTAAAACTATTTTCAAAGACAACTTCTTAATACATCAATTACAACAACATAGTTAGAGCCATGTTCCTGCAGTTCCTCTCCTCATACAACTAATATGAAGAGACTTACAGAAACGTGAAGCAGACCTCTAAGAACATTGGGACATACTGTGGCCCAACACTCCCATGCATGGAAATAAGGAGGTACAAAGTGCTCACTCTCCCGTGCTGGCTACCCATATTATGGGGTGCAATGTTGGGGGTACAGTAAAGAAAAGCAGCCTCTACAGGACTACTACTTCCCCTCCCTTCCAGGTGGGCTGGGAGTGGGAAGAGCTGTGCTGGGGAAGTAATTTGTACCAAGCCTACATCTGGGACAAATTACTTCTTCACTACCCACCCCAGCACCAGATAGGGGCGGGAACTGTGCCTCGGAGTCTGCTCCTGGAGCAGCACAACCCATTATCCTTTACACAGGACTTGTTATCAAGACATGAGTTAGCCCTACAATGCAGGGAACAATCCTTTGCCAGTGGGGGGGTGGGGGGACTAGATAAAAGAAAACCATTTCTTTTCCAACTCAAATTTCTGTGATATGACTGAAGATTTTATGAAAAGATAGAAGATTCTACAAAGTCAGGTGGATGAAGCCATGTAACAAGAAATTAGTATACTTATGAAGTGTTTTATTGCCAGAAATGAAAAAGATACAATACAGTTCAGCCAGCAAACTATTTCCCTATGTTTTTGTCCTTTTGCAAATAGCATTTAATAGCAGATTGTGGTTAGATTAGCTCACTGTCAAGCAGACATGACTATTTTGCTTTATATCTTAACATTTCCGAGGTTGTTGGATAATGTAAATTCTTTTGGACCATATACTCTTCTCCAGGGTTGGTTGTCGCTTTTGATAGGCCATCTGTGCTGCTGCTGCAGGAAATTTGTGGCTCATCTGAAAGATTAAAAGAAAAAAGTCACAACAGAAAAAGACTTTTTGGCTATTTCTCTGCTGAATTTCATCTTGACAAAGATTTTTTTTTATTATTATTAAAGCTTTTATATTCTAGCAGACCAATCTTAAGTGTCTTCCATTGAAATGAACAGTATATATCAGAGACATAGCAGCTCCATGTGTTTGACTAGCAGTCAAGACTCCCACCTGGTTGTCACCAACTACACTGCATACATACAAGTGTCAAAGTTACTTCAGCCTGGTTAACATGTGAATAAATGACACGAGAGAGACAGACAGACACTACTACAAGGGGTGCCAAGCAGAGCCAATCAGCATTCCAGCTGCTGTTAAAGTCACTCTCAATCTTTCCAATTTCCAGTTGTTACAACAGTAGCCCATTGTGATATCTGAGAACCTCTTCCCAATCCCAGAGAAAAACTGCATGTCTGAAGAATCAGGGAGGTCAGAGAGAGTGGAAGGAATGCTAAGTTAGAACAGAGTTAGGAGATGGGGGAAAAGAGGGGAGGAGAATGGAGAGCCATGTGTACTGCTAGTTCTAAAGAAAAAAGTCTGAGCTAATTTAATTGTGATTTTGCTGAGCTTGTCACACACCAGGGATTTGATCCAATGAGTTAATGTTACATACAATATTTATATGCTGAAAATGTATTTAATTGAGGCTTCAGTAAGCACTAGGCAAAACTAAGAACAGAATTGTCTCAGGCTTAGGACTTTAATGACATCATGTTTGTGTAATATAGGCAGAATCTTTAAAAATCATATGCAAGAGGAGTGCAAGTTAAGAAGCAGCTTGTAAAAACAGGTTCTCTCAAATGTGTTAACTCCAAGTGGAGTCCTACAGTGGACCACCATGAAAAGCACTGGATGTTGCTGTGGATTGCAACCAAAACTGACAGGAAAGATGCCCCATTCATAGCAGTCTGACAGAGAACTGCAGTACCATGGGAGTATTTGCAAAGGCAGAGGCCAGGAAACAGCACTGGAATCTCCAAAGTCTCACATTAGTCCTCAACCAGGATGGTGGCATGGGCTATTGGACAGTGCTGGGGCTACTTCTGATGTATGCTGTGTGTGATGCCCAAGTAGATCACCTGTGGCTGTTTTGCTGATACTGTCTTGCCTTCCTGGTGTCTATTTTGCTGTGGTTTTGTTTTAAACTTATCAGGGTTGATGGGCACCTGTCCTTATGTTGTGAACTTCCCTCAGCTGCTTCATAGAGGTGATCTCCTTGCTTGTGAGGGTAGCCCACTTATCTGAGTTAAGTTAATCTTGTGGCTAAGGCACAGGACTAGAATCCAGAAGATCTGGATTTTATTCCCCGCTCTGCCATTGACTTCCAGTGCCAGTCAGTTATTTTTCCCAAGTTTTTAATAAATCTGAAATTAATATGGCCCTTTTAAAAACTTCAAACTATACAGTGTCTTGTTATACCCAATATAACACAAATACATGCAGATCTTTAACAGTCACAGTGGAGTACAGAAGAGAGTTCAAAGTTACATCTTATAAATATCACAGCCTTCACAGAAAAACAAAACATCTCAGCAATTGATTTTTAGAATAATTTTTTAAATAGCTAGTTGAATCCAGGACATAGCCCCACATCCATCAGATTACAGCAGTTAAGGTAAAATCAATTTTATGTTATAACACCATATAAGCATCTCTTTATAAGACTAAACAGGCACGTGTGCCCTATTCTACTACATATACTTACTTTCTCCAGTGCATCAGCTAGTAAGATACCCATATTTTGCATTTTTGTAACGCTAACAATTGAGCTGCAAAGCAAAAGAAATTTTTTCAGGATTTTTGTCTCCACAAATTACTTTTCTTCTCAAGGTTTCTTTTAAGTGAAGATATAAACATAGCCTGTGTTATTCAGCTATAACTTAGCTCTATGATATTGGGGGGGGGGGGGAAGAGAAGATGAGAAATAAGAGTTTAAGACCATCTCCCTACAATTGCCAGATACATAGTTTTCCTCTCAATTTGAACTTGGTAACAGGAAACTAGAAACAAGATAATACTTTTCCATGGTGCCTGATTCCCCCAGAAGGCCTCTTTGATAAGTAATAATTTCTTTGTATGTTACTGGCAATGTTTCATGAAGTCACAAGGTCTACACGGCAATAAAAGACATATGGCACAGCCAGGGCTGGCCCAGGTCAGCTGGCTCAGGCTTGCGGGGCTTGAGCTGCAGGGCTAAAAACTGGAGTGTACATGTTGGAGCTTGGCCTGGAGTCCAGGCTCTGAAACCACTCACCCTCATGGTTTCTCAGAGCCTGGGCTCCAGGTAGAGCCCCCATGTGTAAACTGCAATTTTTAGCCCCACAGCCCAAATTGGAGTCAATTGACGTGGCTTCAGACTTGATGCCATGGGTTTTTTTATTGCAATGTAGATGTACCCCTCAGAATTACAATTTTTACTGCTCTCCCTCCCTGCCACCTGCCCAATCTCAGAATTGGGTTCATTATTTTGGAAAACATTAGTAATGTTTTTAGAACTAAAAAAAAAGTCCACTTTAATTTGAAAATAGGTCTATTGTCAGGCTCAGATGACTTTTACATCAAAACTGATTGTTTGCATTTTTCCAGTGCATAGACATTTTATCAAAATTCAGAAAAAAAATAAAGATTTGGAGGCTGTGAAATCATATGAAGTTAAATGGCAACAATATTTGTGTGAAATTCTCCAACAAAATTATGGATTTCACACAGATTTGATGATACTAAAGTTTATCTATTAGGCCTTGGCTACACTGGTGCTGTACAGCGCTGCAACTTGCTGTGCTCGGGGGTGTGAAAATGCCCCCCCCCCCCGAGCGCAGTGCTGTAAAGCGCCAGTGTGATCAGAGCCTGCAGCACTGCACGCTCACTTGCAGCGCTGCAAGCTACTCCCCTCAGAAAGGTGGAGTACATACAGCGCTGCGAGAGCTCTCTCGCGGCGCAACTACACTCGTGCTTCACAGCGCTGCCGTGGCAGCGCTGTGAATTCCCAAGTGTAGCCAAGGCCTCAGAAAGTGCACGTATTTGAAGCATTTTCACTTGAGTCTACAGTGTTCCCATTTGCAGAGACATCAATCAGAGGGAAGACTAGGACTGATTATTTGTCTGTTGCTACCTATATTGAACTAGCCACGTTAAAAGACAATTCTCACCTGAACAGGAAGATGTAACTACACCTAGGTTTATTCTCTAGATGCAGCAATAACAAATGAACTTCAATGGTGAATTTAAAATACTTCAACAAATAGACATACCAACCAAGAACCAGTCCCTAGCACCCTAAGGGCATGGCTACACTTGTGAGTTAGAGCGCATTAAAGCAGCCCTGTGTGCTCCAACTCATGATGCGTCCACACTGGCAAGGCATGTAGAGTGCTCTGACTCCACAGCTAGAATGCTCCTGGTAATCTACCTCAGCGAGTGGAATAATGTTTGATGTGCCCCCGCTGGAGCGCCACGGCGCCAGTGTGGATGCCCTGGTCTGTTAATGTGCTCTGATCAGCCTCCAGAAGTGTCCCACAATGCCTGTTCTAGCCACTCTGGTCATCACTTTGAACTCTACTGCCCTGCCCTCAGGTGACCAACCGTCAGACCCGCCCTTTAAATTCTCTGGGAATTTTGAAAATCCCCTTCCTGTTTGCTCAGCCAGACGTCGAGTGCTCTCAGCAAATCTTTCCCGGTGACTATGCCTCCACATGCCAGGTGATCCCCAGTATGGAGCAATGGCAAGGTGCTGGACCTCAGTGTTTGGGGGGAGGAAGCTGTCCAGTCCCAGCTGCGCTCCAGCCATAGGAATTACGATACCCTCGGGCAGATATCAAGGGACATAATGGAAAGAGGCCATGACCGGCACGCACTGCAGTGCAGGGTTAAAGTGAAGGAGCTGTGGAATGCCTACTGCAAAGCCTGTGAGGCAAACTGCCACTCTGGTGCTGCCCCTGTGACCTGCAGTTTCTACAAAGAGCTGGACGCGATGCTTGGGGGTGACCCCACCTCCACTCAGAGTATCACCATGGACACTTCAGAGCCCAGTTCAACAAGGCAGCAGGAGGAGAAGGAAAGCAGGAGCGAGGGTGCTGAGGAGGACGACAACACCCCGGGATCCCTAGATGCATGCAGCCAGAAGGAAGGTAGCCAGTTGCAGCAGCCAGTGCTTGGGGAAGGACAAACACCAGAGGAGGTGCCCAGTAAGTGGCTTTTATTTTGGGAAGGATGTTATTCGGTGCAGGCTCTTGGGTCAAGGAGGATTAGGGTTGCATGCATGCCCAGATGCGGAATAGGGCATTGATGTGCTCTCATCACAGTAATCTGTCAGTGATCTCTTCAAAGGTCTCATCCAGAACTTGGGCAATGTGCTTGCGCAGGTTTCTTGGGAGAGCTACTGTGGTCCCCGTCCCAATCAGGCTAACATGGCTGCGCCACTGTGCCGTGAGGGGTGGGGGGGACCATTGCTGCACCCAGGCAAGCCTTATATGGGCCAGGGTGGAAGCCACATTGTAGTGGAAGACCCTCCCTTGCTTCCCAGGTCACCCTCCGCAGCAAGGTATCTTCCAGGACGAACTCCTGTGAAAGATGTGGGGACAGTGTTCAGTATAGGGGCCCCCTGCAGCTGTTGGCTCTCCCCAAGGCACAGAAACCCAGAGGACAGTATGGCCATGAAACAATCAGTCCCCCCTTGACCCTGTGCTTACTCACCATTTTAGGGCTCCCGTGGCTTATGTCCGCTCACTTAGGATGGGCAAATTATGCTATTGTGTAGACTGTGCTTTCCCCTAAGTATGGGGGAATCATTGCTCTGTTTGGTGTGAACAATGCTGCCTCTGTTAAGTGTTGCATTTACAAATGCCACCTGGAGATCTCAGCCGTCCGTGTTATCACCGGCCGAAAGACTCCAAAGAATTAGGAAGAGGCCACGTAGAAGCAAAGATGACATGCTGCATGAAATTATGCAGTAGACCCTTAATGAGAATCTAAAAGTGCAGGAGTGAAGGGAGAGTGAAAGGTGGATCTGCCAGCAGAATGAGGAGCGCTGGCACCAAAGCATAGAGCTCCAGCAGCAAAGCACAGATCAGCTGATAAGCATCATAGAGTGCGAAGCGGACTCGATCCAGGCACTCGTAGCCATGCAGGCGGAGCACTACCATGCCCTCCCCTGCCCCTCCGCAGCACTTGTCACAAAACTTTCCCTTGTGCCCCATGTCACCTCCAACCCACTTTCCCCAAAATCTGGGTTCTTACCACCACCAGCTGCCTCCAACACCTGTAGCTTCACCACCCAGTCCTGAAAACTATGACCCTTACCCACTGCACTCAACCTCCATCAACATGCAGTATAGCCATCCTGAAGCACAACACTCATTGCACAGCACTCCAGACAGGAAGGCTGAGTAGGATAACAGGACATATGCAAATCTGTGATTGTACCATTCCCCCCCCCCACCCTCTTGCCCTGTTTCCCAAGCAGTTGTGTTTCTTTTCAATAAATTGATTTTTTGGCTTTGAAAGCCAACATTCTTTATTATTGCATTAAGTAAAAGATACTTTATCCCAGGAAAGCAACAGGTACTGCAAGTCAGCGTAGCAAACACAGATTCCTATTAACATTGGAACCACTGCACTTCACTCCTGTGCAGGGCACCAAACATTACTGGTGGCTTTCAGCCTCAAATTGCTCCCTCAAGGCATCCCTAATCCTTGCAGCCCCATGCTGGGCCCCTCTAATAGCCCTGCTCTCTGGCTGTTCAAATTCAGCCTCCAGGTGTTGAACCTCTGAGTTCCATGCCTGAGTGAATCTTTCACCCTTCCCTTCACAAATGTTATACAAGTGGATATAACTGCAGGGATGCTCTCATCGGTCAGGTGCAGCTTCCCATACAGAGAGCGCCAGCGGCCCTTTAAACAGCCAAAAGGGCACTCCACAGTCATTCTGCACCAACTCAGCCTGTTGAACCGCTCCTTGCTGCTGGCAAGGCTCCGCATGTAGGGTTTCCATGAGCCACGACATTAAAGGGTAAGCAGGGTCTCCAAGGATCACAATTGGCATTTCGACTTCCCCTACTGTGATCTTCTGGTCTGGGAAAAGAGTCCCGGCTTGCAGCTTCCTGAACAGGCCAGTGTTCCAAAAGATGCATGCATCATGCACCTTTCTGGGTCAGCCTGCGTTAACATCAATGAAACGCCCACGGAGATCCACAAACACCTGGAGAACCATAGAGAAAATACCCCTTCTGATTAATGTACTCAGAGGCTAGGTGGGCTGGTGCCAGAATTGGAATATGCTTCCCATCTATCACCCCTCCACAGTTAGGGAAACCCATTTGTGCTAAGCCAGCCACAATGTCATGCACGTTACCCAGAGTCATGGTTCTTCTGAGCAGGATGCGATTATGGCCCTGCAAACTCAATTCCAATGGTCGACCTTCCCACTCCAAACTGGTTAGCGACTGATCGGTAGCTGTCTGGAGTTGCCAGCTTCCAGATTGCAATAGCCATCCGCTTCTCCACCATCAGGGCAGTTCTCAATCTCGTGTCCTTGCGCCGCAGGGTGGGGGTGAGCTCAACACAGTCCCATGAAAGTGGTTTTTCTCATCTGAAAGTTCTGCAGCCACTGCTCGTCATCCCAGACTTGCATGATGATGTGATCCACCACTCAGTGCTTGTTTCCTGAGCCCAAAAACAGCGTTCCATAGTAGTGAGCATGTCCGTGAATGCCACAAGCAATCTCGTGTCGTATGTGCTACTTGAGTTGATATCATCGTCGGAGTCCTCACTGTCAGTTTGGATCTTAAGGAGTAACTCGACTGCCAAATGTGACATGCTGGTGAGACTCATCAGCATATTTCTCAGCAGTTGGGGCTCCATTCCCGCAGACCGAAAGGGAAGAGAGCGCGCAGTACAAAAAACGTTGAAAGATGGTGCCAAATGTGGACAGAAGCACAGGGAATGCTGGGATGTGAACCAATGCATCACAGGGTGTTGGGACAGGACCCAGAATGCTTCACACCCCTTGCCCCCTTCCCACAAGCCATAGCGCCAGAATGGGAAAAAGTGCCCTGTGGGATAGCTGCCCATAATGCACCGCTCCCAATCCCGCTGCAAGTGCCGCAAATGTGGCCACACCAGTGTGCTTACAGCTGTCAGTGTTGACAGACTGCAGTGCTTTCCTTACTGCGCTCTCCAAAGGCTGGTTTAACTCAAAGCGTTCTACATCTGCAAGTGTAGCCATGCCCTCAGTGACTGCAAATTCCAAGGAGACTAATCACAGTAGAAAGTTGCACTAGTAGGCCCCTAAATTATCTGCCATTAAACTTTTTAACTGACCTACTAAAGATATTTAAAGTATTCATTCTCTGGATAGATTTCAAGTGGTGAGATTTAGGGAAATTGCATGAATGCATTTCTCATGAAAGGGGTCTGACAGTTGAAACCCTCTTTTAACAGGACATGTATATCACAGATGCTGTGGCCCTACAACTGTGCCAGACCCTGACCTAGAGAGGCCACCTCTAGCATGAATAGTCCCATCTCCAAGCCTCCTCAAACCTCAGTCTCTTGGCTAAGACTGCCAACCAGAGTGCCCACTATGATGAGACACCTGTTATGAGTCTAGTAGGAGCTAGACTCAGGACATCAACTCATTTCATATAGGCCACTTTACAGGTGTCAGATGGAAGTGATTTATATTACCACCAACCTGAGCCACATTTGAATCGGTGATCTAGAGAGTAAAGACTTCAAGACATTATCAGCCCTCCAAGCCACACTATCCTGTTTCCCTAAATCACTGGATTATTCTCTGTGAATGAGGGACAGTCTTTGCTCCATTTATCATGACACTTAAGTTTCCTGAACAAGTTAACATGCATGCATTATGAAACAGTCAGCTACTTTAAAAAATTATTTCATTGTTAAAAAAGAGACCTCATTTGTAGCTTTTACATAATTACATCTTGAAAATAAAGTTCACCTACCCCTGCGTAAAATATACTCCAGTAATCATTTATTTCTTTCCAGTTTCTAATGGATTTTATAATTAGCTCTTTGTTTACTAGTTTTTTGTGCCAGAATCAATGCTGTCACCTCAGTCTAGTTCCAGGAATAGTGTTTTAGTTCAATGTCTTCAGAGCCAGCAAGGGAAGTGCAGTGCTGATTTCTGTGGGTCTGCCAAAACAATTAGTGGCAATTTGTTTCTCAGCTTTGAGGGGAAAAAAATAAATCTAATTTAGAGGATTTCCAGCAAGTTATAGCATTTTAAAAGATCAGATTTAGTGCCAAAACTTGGGTTTAATTGCCAGGTCAGCCACAGACTTCCTATGTGACCTTGGACAAGTCATTCTGGGCTTGTCTACATGGAGACTTAGGGCATGTCTACACTGCAGCTAGAAGGTGAGATTCCCAGTACGGGTGGGCACACTCACACTAGCTCAGTCTGAGCTAGCAAGCTAAAAATAGCAGTGTGGATGTTGCTGCACTGGCAGCAGTCTGGCCTAGCTATCCAGGGGGTTGTGGGGGCTTGGGCTTGGGTAACTAGCACCACCAGTTCCAGCTGTGGTAGATTCTTCCTGTGCTGTCACAGTGGAGGACATTTGTAAGACTGCCTTCCAAGAACTCCCCACTAAGCTAGGGCTTACAAGGTATGCTAGGAACAGGACGAGGGATGGAAGAGACATTCTGGGGACAGGGCTATAGGGTGACCAGATGTCCTGATTTTATAGGGACAGTCCTGATTTTGGGGTCTTTTTCTTATATAGGCTCCTATTCCCCCCCCACTCCCATCCTGATTTTTCACATTTGCTGTCTGGTCACCCTACAGGGCTACAACACAGCTCTGTGGCCCATATGGCAGCCTCAGGAAGCTGTTGTAACATAGATAGGCCCCTAGGGCTGTCTAAGGTATAGTGGGGGCCACTCCAGCCCCTGGAACAGTTCAGGGTCAGGAGGGTGCTTAAAGCCACCTTAGCCCCATTTCCCAGCAATGCACCCATTGTTTCAGGAAAAGTAAGACCAGATCAGATTTTCTAATATTAAAAAACACTGAAAAAAAAAATAGATTTATAGAGTTATAGATTCTAAAGCCAGAAGGGACCACAAGCCACTAAATTTATCCCAGTTATGCTTGTATTGAGTTCAATAACTTGTGTTTGACTAAAGCTTAATTTGTCTTTTGGGTAAACCATGATTTCCAGAAAAGCATCTAGTTAATCTGAAGACATCAAGAGATGAGAGAAATGGTGGATTCTCTAATAGTTCATTCCAGTGACCAAACTCCCGGTTAAAAACAATTGTGCTTAATTTCTAATGTGAATTTGTCTGGCTTCAACTTCCAGAAATTGGCTCTTGTTATGCTTTTCTTCTCTAGCAGAAAAAGCTATTTAGTACCTGAAATTTTCTCCCTGTGAAGGTACTTATGCATCCTAATCAACTCACTTCTTTCTTCTTTTTGTTAAGCTAAAGAGATTGAGGTCTTTATATCTCTCTCTCTCATTTGAAGGCAGGCATTTTCTCCAGCCCCCTAATCATTTAAAATAAACAAAAAACTTTTTAAAAGGAGAATATAAAGAAGCAAAAAAGGGTACAAGCCAATTATTTTTCTTTTCAGATTACCTTCAAATCTGCCTTTCGTTTGTATACTGCAGAGTTTAGTGATTACTAATTGCACTGTTCAAAACCGCAAAGCTTTATTCTTTTTGGAAACCTGATGCAACTTGCTGTTAATTTTACCCTTAAACATCAAGGCATAACTGCAGATGAAATACCTTGTCTTCTCTTTTCCAGGGTTCTTGGAATTTTTCTCAACAGCTCCATTTTCTTGCTTTTTGGAAACTCTCCTACCTCCAGATTTGACTGTTAGAAGACAACAATTTATACTGTGTGAATAGCTTAAACAGCTACAGAACTGTTCATCACAAGGTTGATTTATTTTGTTTTTTAAAAAAAGACTGCACAACATATACTCAGGAAAACTGGTAACATGAGGAAAATTCATAATAAGATAGAGATTAAGTCTCAAGAGAATTATTTTGAACTCTGTTATGGTTCTTCTGCAGTGTGGGTGGAAGCTGAAAACCAAAATGAGCCCCAGAGAACCACCCAAGACTATCTTTAAACTTTTGGACTACAACATGATCAGAGTAAGTTCAAGCTATTGCAATCTAAAAACCGTATCCTTAGGAATAGAAACTATACTGGTTCTAAAATTTGGCTGCCCTCATGCAGTCCTTCCCAGAGATCTTAGATGTAATTGTTTAGAGGTGTTTTTTTTTTTTTTTTTTTAAATAAAAGTCGAGTCTTTCTACATCAGTTTTCAACACAGCATACAAGTAATAGCAAGAAGATTGTTTACATGATTTACTCAAGATACCCCAGAATAAAATTGTATGCATAATACAAGTTATAATGCAGATAGGAATCAACTGCATATTTATCATGCCCTAGTGTTCTTTCAAGATTAATTATAATTTATTAAAATGCCTGCCAATCACAAAACCAATTAGTACTAATTAAGCTACAGATGACCTAACAATGACAATTTAAGTGTTGAGCAATGTCAGATAAATCCAACTTTTTAAAGGAGCATGTAAAGATATTTCAGATAACTTGTCAAAGCAAATACCTTCTTCCTGTGCACAAGAATATTTGTAAATTTTATAACTGTCAAAGTAAATCAGAACAAGCTGAACAGATTTTTGGTTAATTTAATCTAGTTGTTTCATTATGACAAGGTTCCTATTCTGCATTTAAAACAGCCAAGACAAGAGTTTCCATCAGATCTATAGTTTTTTGGGGATGGCACAAGCAGGAAAGGAAAATTGTTTTTAAAAGTACTTCAAACAGGTTGCAGAATTCCATCAAATAAGTAGTATTATATTCATCAAGACCAGCTCTAAGTGTATTTAGATGTTTACTGCAGAAATAAATGTCTGATGAACGTGACACAAAATGCATCCATTTTCCACTAAAGTTGCATATTTAGGGGGCTATATACATTTCCCCTCCAGACTAGCACCAAGAATCATCCTTGTGCTCATCACTGGTCCACCTGGCCTTAATAGGATTAAATGTTACGATAACAAATGTATACAACATAAATAGTAAAAACATAGGTAGTTATTTTACAGCATGGAGGGAAAATTATTGATTTAATATTGTAACTTCAACAATAGTTTGTTTTTATTGTAAATGTGCTTCGGATGGTTACCAGACATGTTATAAATGGAGGAGTTGTTTCAAAGCCACAAAGGGCAAATGGATACCCACTTTCCACCAAAATTCTTTTGGGCACCTAACTCCTCTTTGTGGCTTTGAAAATCTCCTCTAATAAGAAATCAATTATCAACAAGCTACTAATAAAAAGAATCCAAAGTTTAAGGGCCTGATTCTGTAAGGTATAGAGTTCCCTCAATTCCCATTAAAATTAATTGGAGTTGAGAGCGCTCAGAATTCTGCTGTGTCAGGTATGTGGTTGCTGATCATTTGCTTTATTTTTTGTAAGTTTCTTAACAGCTATTTTGTTTTTGTGAAAACTTAGCTTTACCTACTGAAAATGCAGCTTGAGGTCTTTTGCGCTGTCTATAGAGTTGCAGGAACAACAGCTATAGTTATAATTGAGGAGGCATTTGGAACTTTTTTTTAAGCTGAAGTTGCTTATGCTCATTCTTACCCAAAAGGTGAACTTTGTGGGGAGAGATCTGAGGGTCTCGCAACTTTGGCAGTTTTGGGGAGAGAAGAGATTTTGGCATAAAGAGTTTTCAGATAATTTTCGTCCTCTACTAACTGATAATATAGATTATAGTTAAAATTCAACTTGCTCCAGTCTTAGTCCTCAGTGAGAGCAGACATTTTGGATTCATCTGATGTTTAGTTTAGACTAGATCAGGACTTTAACTGGAACCCTAGGACCAAAATGCCCTGAATTTTTGTACCTGAATTTCCAAATCATGGATTAGATTTCAAGATTAGGGCCTTTCTATAGTGAGCTGAACCCTTAATTAGAAGGTGACATTTAGTGCCTTTTAATAATGGGCCTTACCCCTGTTCAGAACACACCCAAATTACTGGAGGTGCCCAAAATCAGATCTGAACCTAGATCCAAATTATGTGGCTTGCGCCCATCCCTAGAAATATACAATAAGCATTTGTAAATATTTTGACAGTAGGATATAAAACTTCAATGAAAATTATGTGAGTGAGAGGTAAGGCTCCAGATACATATATGCAGAAGCATGTACATAACGTACAAAGCTGCCCACTGCATGAAAGAAGAGGCTAAAGGAATACGGGGGGGGGGACCCCAAGGCACCAGGGCATTTAAAAAAAAAATCTGCTGGTGTACAATTATTTTGTAAGTTGCAAGGCTAAAAATAGATATGCCATTCAGAATGAATATGCTTTTAAAGACAAATTATTTTGCATTTTAATAATGAAGTTTAGTAAATTATTAGTGTCTAATATGCATTAACTGACTAATCTTAGTGGATTTAGAAAAGAAGCTCTTGAACATAACTTTATATTTCACCAAGAACTGCAGAATTTTTAGTATGTGGAATTAGTGCACATGGGGGCAGCTATAGAGTAGTAATCAGAACGAACTTTTCCGAAGTACAGTAGGTACTCACACAATTAGCTAGTGTACATAGGGATTAGTTAATGTTTGTACAACTCTGAATATTTAAAGCACCAAATAAATGCCAACTATTATTATGACAAATCATAACTGCTTGAAAGGAGCAGTTTAGTACCACATTAATGATCTTCAGGTTATGTGAACAAAAGCACCATTTAACATAACATCTCAGAGTACTTATTTGTTTCCTGTTATATGCTGACAAAGAAGACTTAAATTCAGTTATTTAAATGCATCAATCACATTTTTTGTTATTCCTTTATAGCACATTCCTGAGTAAGATTATCACCCTTCTCCTCCTCTCAGAGTTGCCACAATCCAGTGTTTGAGAGTTTCAATTCAGGACTATGGAACTGATTATGAAGTCCCAAACAGTCGCATGTGATTTCACCTGATAAACAGGAGGAGATAGATGAGAAAAGAAACTGCTTTCATTTACAGACAACCGTTACTCAAAATTTATACAGCAGCTATAAAAGTACAATACCCTTCAAACAAGGAATGGAATGGATTGCCTGTCACAGAAAGTTTGCAATCCAATGCCTCAATCCTGAAATCTGAATGTCACAGATGGATTCTTATCCCCACGATGTGCTCCACTGAAATCACTGAGGTGCTGCATAGGTACAGGTATCCACTTGTGCAGACTAGACTGCAGGATCCAGGCCTAAAATGCAATAATGACAGTAGAAGAGGCTACTACAGCTAGAGAGGGGTGTTGATAAAATGGTAAGGGCCCAATTCTCTAGATGTAGGTCAGGCACATGCCCATGGACTTTAGTGACAGCTTTGGCTGTGTAAAATCTGGGTTATAATTTTGTAAAGTAATCCAGAAAGTGGCTGTAATTCCTTAAAGGGACATTGTCAAATTTGGACATTTGAAGACATGGTACACCTTTCAACCTCTCCACACACTCCCTTCATCAGTGTGATTTGTTTTTCACCTTTTTTATTTTTTAAAGCTTAGTTATTCTCTAAAGGAAAATGCAAACCAGCAGACCAGGACTCAAAAGGGATGAAAGCTCTTGTTAACACAGAGTCAGGGACTCAGGATTGAGTCTATTCCCAGCTCTGATTGATACCTGGTATGCAATCTTGACACTCAAGTTTTTAAAACAACTGCTAGTTTTGGATGCCCACACCACAACCTGCTTTCCAAAACAGGGACCCAAAATAACCCAATAACTTCCAAAAATATCTGCTGAACTCCCTGGTCAAAACTGGCAAAATACTTCCATCCTCTCAGCTCACAGGAGCAAGTCCACTCCGACTTGTAATGCACTTTGGGATTCTCAAATAGAAAACTGTAGACGTCGAATCTAGTTGTGAACATCATCAGGAGAAACCCCAGGATAGCAGCAAACTCGCGTGAACACATGGTGCGGAGGAAGTGGGAGCGTGGGGTCTTTCCAGGAGCGAGTGGGGATCACGAGAGTTTCAGCAATGACTGATACCTTGTCAGATGCTCACATTGGCTGGATTTCACCCCCCTCCCTCTGGGGAGCTGCGGCAGCAGTGCTGGTCATGGGGCCAGATTCTGCTGCCGAGGGGCTCCTAAGGGCAGGGAGAATTGCTCAATCAGGCAGAGTTTGAACGTCAGGTCTGGGCAAAGGCCAAAAGAAGGGAGGGGTGCTGGAGTCTCACCCCTCGCTGCATCCCCGACCCGGAGAGATTCTTACAGGAGACTACGGGAACACATTACACAATTACAGTCAGACAGGTAGAGTGTGTGTTTGTGTGTATGTGAGAGAGAACCCCCCCCCCCGGGGCATATTACGCAATCAGGCGCGTACGTTTGTGTGTCCCCGTCCCCTCTAACCCAACCACAACCGCGCGGAGCAGCCACCAGAGGAAACCAAGCAGCTTCCCTGCTAAGCAGGGGCGCCTACCTGCCGGAGGGCGCCCGCCTTTCAGGGTGGACGGCGGAGCTGACGCTTCCTTCGCCATGGCAGGGGTGGGTAAGTGTGGACAGGCAGCAGCCAGTCACGAGCCTGCAGAGGCGAGTCCCAGCTAGGAGCAGGCGCACGGCGCTCCCTTTTATGGAGGTGGGGCCGGGGGCGGGGCAGGGCAG